AATATAATCATCGCTGCTTTACAAAGAACCACCATCTATGGGATGGTAGCCCAACGAATTTTTTTTGTCTAGTTGAAAATGCACACAATTAGCTTAAAATCATTTAAGAAAGGTATGTGGATAAACACATTTTTAATTCGTCTACCGGCCAATAGAAGGCGCTTCATATCCGTACCTATCACAAAGTCCACCATTTTGAATGACTACGTTGAGGTGCTGAAATCCGTTCAGTAAGCCCCAATGCGAGTAAGGAGGACGCTTTGTTTTTCAACAAAGCCAAAACAATACGTTAATATTAGATTATAACAAACTATTCCAACAAAATAATCTTTTCATCAAGAAATCGGGGGATTTTTAACCCCCCTCACGGAAATTTAAGTTTCTTGATCTTTGAAGATGCGTTGCCATAGAAAACCTCCCAAACCCCGACCAGCCGACCCTAAAGGATCTTTTTGACTAGTTAAATTTTGTGTGACCTGTGATAACACTTTACAAAGTACCGCCATCTATGGAATGGTAGCCCAACTGAACGAGTTTTTTTGTCTAGTTGAAAATGCTCAGAATTAGCTTAAAATCATTTAAGAAATGTATGCGGATGGATATATTTTTTATTCTGCTACTCTCCAATAGATGGCGCTGCATATCGGCACGTATCACAAAGTCCACAACTTTGAATGACTACCTTGGGGTGCTGAAATCCGTTCAGTAAGTCCCAATGCAAGCAGTGAGGAGGACGCTTTGTTTTTCAACAAAGCCAAAACAATACGTTAATATTAGATATAACAAACTATTCCAACAAAATAATCTTTTCATCAAACAATGGGGGGATTTTTAATCCCCCTCACGGAAATTTAAGTTTCTTGATCTTTGAAGATGCGTAGCCATAGATACCTCCCAAACCCCGACCAACTGCCCCTGAAGGATCTTTTTGCTTAGTTAAATTTTATGAGGCCTGTGGTAATAAGGTTTTTTAGTGTTATCTATGAGATTATAGCCAAACTAAAAATTATAGGATTCGTCAGATTGCAGATAACATTTTCAAATATGCAACACATATAAATCCTACAGAAAGCCATAAAATAAGTCTTCGTCTAAAGTGACGATGCCATCGTTCCCAGAAACGTTTTCTTCCCGCGATGGACAGCCTCTGCAAAGAGGTTTGTCCAACTTGCGAAGCTTAGAGCTACCTGGTTATCATGTTCTGGCTTACGATAGGTTCGTCGTGGGTTTAAGTAAGTCGTATGTCTTTTTTTTTTGGAAGCGGAAAGTTTTTATAGCTAGTCTAGTGCAGAAAAGGTGGACAGTATTGCTCTCTCGGCCTTTCAAGCCCAAAATGTAAGACTTCAGAAGCGACATACTCACTTAAACCCTTCGGTTGTTTGCAACACACCCCACCGTGGTAATACCAGCAGTATTTTGTCATGATGGGTAGCATTGTTGCACTATTGGTTGAATGTCAACCCATTCTCTCTTACATGCCTGCCTATTTTCCGTCACAAGTGACCGAAAAATCTATGCAGAAAAAATGTTTTTGTTGAATGTGGCCACAATAGTTACCCAAAATTCAGGGGTACTATATACTAAATTAACAAATTTTGTTAACACTTTTATAAGTTTTGTAAGTTTCTCGTAACTGGCGAGATGTGTATGAATTGAAGACTCAACAATTGCTTTTTTTTCGTTAAACTAACCTTGAGGAGTGATTCTTTCATTCTGTGATTACTTTGTTGCAAAAGCTAGTTAATAACAAACTAATTAACATTACTTAAAATGTCAATAAAGTAAAAAATCTCAATAAAAAATGTTTAAAGTCAATTTTCTCACACAATAATTTTGTTATCCATTTGTGTCTTCAATTATACTACAACCCCATTTCGTATTGTATATACACCATAGAAAAAATATATCTTCTTAGTTACAGTCGTTGCCTAAACCAGAGAAAAAGAGAGAGAGGTGGACGTATCGGGGTGCGTTCATTAGTAGGGCTTGGCGTTTGATTTGGATAGTCCTGTGGTTTATACGCTATTATACCACACACAGTAGTGTGGTTTTTCAAAATCCCGTATTCGGCTTGTTTCAAACCCTAAAAAGCGTAGGTTCTGAAATGTGTCATAGAGAAGTGAAAATCGCTTAAAAATTATGTTACATACGTACTTCAAAAACAATCATGATAGCCGAGTCTCTTTCAATAATCCGGTAGTATTGTGAGGTATGCCTATAAACCTCAGGCCTCTTCCGGTTTAAATTTTCAGACATATAAATTAAATTTAAATATGACGAAAAACTAGCACGCATATTCAAGCACGTTGCAACTTAAAAGAGAACAACAGTCATCAAACATCAGTAAGGGGAGGAGGCAACCAAATTGCCATGACAGGCTATTTTTGGGCACTATAACTATAAAGTCATACTGGATTTGCTTTCGAGGTCAAGAATTCTTCAAATACTTTTTATAGGTGTGTTTTTGTAGTTTTGAAACAACCAATCTAACCTCTTGGTCAGGGGTCTATCAGGACTCTAATTTGGGACGGTTACCAGTTTTTGACAAAGGATTAAACTCTCAAGACAATTCGACTTTTGGATACATCATTCAAGAGTATATCTACTAAAATTTGACAAACATACGTAACCTTTCCTTGGGTGGTAGCACACTTTAACAAAATGCTAGTTGGGACATGAATGTGTTTCTGGTCCTGGCCAAAAAGAAACGCCCTAGTGCTCATTCGGTTTCGATGGATGGCCGAGTCCTAGCAAGCAGTCGCTCAGTTTGGCTGGTTGGAGTCGTGATCACCGAGGAGTTGATCTGACACGAACACATCTCGGCATTAAAAAGCTAGGTAAGAAGTACTTTTCTCCACATAACTTCCTCACTCTGTACGAGGCCCAGATAGGACTTAGCTTCTAGTAGTGCTCACATGTTTGGGGTGCTGCCGCCCCAGATACATTATCCATTCTCGATTATGCTGTCCAGAGAATAGCTGTCCAACTGATTGATGATTCTTCTCTAGCTGACAGTCTCGGACCATTTCGCTCTAGCTCTTTTCCGCCGCTACGCCAAGGGGCTTTGCTCCTTAGGGTACTCCTCCATGATGTGTCCCCTATGATTGGTTCGACGCTTAGCCTAGTTTGATTATGTGAAGTTTGTGATTATGGGGTTTCATAGCCGCATCTATGGGATAGTAGCAGAACTAACCGTTTTCTTTTTGAGGTTTTAAACTTCCAGTACTCGCGCGGGGTATCCAAATACCCCACTAGTAATATCTCTATCTATACTGGAGTGGGGGAAATGACGATCGGCATATAGTTTCGTCTATTCCTCGAGTGTAGTATACGCAGGCTGGTGTTAAGAGTTGGCTGCAGTCGAGATCACGTGGTGCGTAAGCTACGAGTCGAAATTTGATTGGGGTATTTAGATACAGCTCGCGAGCATCGGAGTAACAAGGAAGTAAGGGTATTTTTGTTTGTTTTTTTGAGGTTTTTTGCAATTTATTGGTGTTATTGCAGGTAAAAATATGGCAAATTTATCAAGTAGAGACCCACAGCAACAGTGACGACGAAGAAGTTTATGGTGAAGATGACCCATCGGAGCAAGAAACAGATAACTTGGAAGTACAAGGTGAATGTTCAGATACGGAGCAAGAGTCTGAAGAGGGAGCTGATATTTCGAATATAACTGAAGAAGATTCTGTAAAAAGCGGTGGTCCATATTTTTTGGGAAAGGATAAAGAAACTAAATGGAGTAAAAACAAACCATCAACGTCAAGAACAAAGGCTCATAATCTTATATTGAATGTTCCAGGGCCAGTAGGCAACGCAAAAAACGCCAAATCCTCGATGGACTGTCTTAGCCAATTTATTGCTGATTCAATGATTGAAATCGTTGTGAAATGTACCAATCTATACATTGCAAAGATTTAAGCAAATTTCGATAGAGAACGTGATGCTAGATTGACTGACGTATGTGAGATAAGATCTTTTATAGGAATACTTTATTTGGCGGGATCTTTGAAATCTGGGAGGCAGAATATTCGGACATTATGGAACACAAATGGCAATGGAATTGAAAACATATATATAACAATGAGTTATAATCGCTTCAGATTCCTGTGTAGAAGTATCAGATTTGATGATGTAAATACTAGGGAAGATCGACGTATGTATGACAAGCTGGCAGCGATTAGGGACATTTTTCAGTGATTTGTGAACAATTTTGCCAGTCTTCAGTGATACCAAGCGCTTTTCTAACCATCGATGAACAACTGGTTGCCTTTCGAGGAAGATGCGCCTTCAGGCAATATATACCTAATAAGGCCAGCAAATATGGAATCAAAATATTTGCATTGGTCGATGTCAAAGCCATGTATACATACAGGTTAGAAATATATGTAGGTAAACAAGCGAACGGGCCGTATGGTTTGAGTAACAGTCCTGGAGATGTCGTAAAAAGGTTAGTTGAGCCTCTAAAAGGTACAGGTCGTAACATTACAATGGATAATTGGTTTTCCAGTGTACCTCTTGCTAGGGACTTATTGAAAGATAAATTGACTATGGTTGGTACGCTCAGGAAAAATAAAAGAGAGATTCCATTAGAATTCACACAGACTGCTTCTAGACCAGAACAGAGTAGTATGTTTGCCTTTCAATCAGATCTTACCTTGCTGTCTTACGTTCCAAAAAAAGGCAAAAATGTATTGCTGATTTCATCAATGCACCACGATGACGAGGTTGATAGGGAATGCTTGAAACCTGAAATAATCCTGGAATACAATAGAACTAAATCTGGAGTGGATGTCGTAGACAAACTTTGTGCCCAGTATGACGTGGCTAGAAATAGCCGACGTTGGCCTCTGACAGTTTTCTTTGACATTCTAAATATTGCTGGTATCAACGCACTTTGTCTATTTGCTATGAACAATAATTTTTAAAAACCAAACAGAGAACATCTCCTGCAAGAGTTAGCTGCAGAGTTAGTACGGCCACAAATAATGAAAAGAATATATATGGATAATATCCCAAGAAATATAAAGAAAAGGGCTATCGCTTTACTGAACATTGAGGAAACTACTCTAGCAACAGACAAGGCTACTACAAAGAAACAAAAACTTGGAAAGGGTAGGTGCTATATATGTCCCAGATCAGCTGATAAAAAAACGCCAATTACATGCGTAAAATGTGTTGAGTGGATATGTAAAATTCATCAAAATTTCGTATGCCGTAATTGCCTTGATAGCAGAGAAATAGAAACCAATTGTGACAGCGAATAGATGCTTTTGCCATATTATACCTTCTGAGACCTGATTTGTTAGTTAGGATTTTATATAAATATTATGTTAGCATTTCTTTCGTAAGTGAATATTTTTTGTTCTGTTATAAACGCATTTAGAAAAATTGGGTGAATATATTTTTCAAAGAAAAGTTCCAACTATTGTTTTATTTAAATTAAAAAACACAAAAACAGGTTGGGGTACCTCAGTACCCCACGCGAGTACCTACGTGATTTTCCCAGCGCGAGTACTGGAAGGTTAATTAAGAACAGAAATACTATACCATCCTGCACATGATTTGCCTACGCTTACTTTTCTGCTTTCCAAGTTCCAATGTATCGATGTCCTAAGCATCGAAATACCGTTAAGTACTAACCTATGTATATCTTGACCTAGGCAGCGCTCAGGCGGACCACGGACGCGGCCTTTGTTCACGGCCACCGCGACCTGAAGGTCGTTCGTCGTCCTTTCTTCAGCAGTACGGTCACGGTACTCATACCTCGCTACCTGAGAGAGACGGTAAACAGCGGCCCAGCTATTCTTACCGCTACACACGATTAGCATGCGTTCTTTTTTTATCACTGATGGTACGACTTGTCCACTTGAAATAAATAGCGCTTATGTTTTAGTAACATCAGCGTTTATTGGCCGTCACACTTCAACGTAACAGTGATACGTTATGAATATGCTTAGGTAATGGTCTTTAGTTCCGTGTTATCTTTGAGGTAGGTCAATTTACCGATATTGGTTGCGTCTTCAGTCAAATGCTCTTGCACCATCCTTTGTTTGCGGCAAACCAGGCGAGGGATACAAGGGAACGACTATTGCAGGGCCAGTATACCTTTTGATTCTTGAGATGCTCTTCCGTCGTTAAAGATTTCCAGTGGCAAGGAAACTATGGGTTCATAAAAGTCTGTTCTATTTCAGCCGATATTCTCCTTAGTTTAATCTCACAGTTTAAACTGTGTCACACAATTATTAGAAATATTTCTCCTGGCAGCGAATAAATAAAGTTTTCTTCTACGCATCAGTTTACTCGTTATAATAACATTTTCAAATTCGAATATATCCGTCAAACATTCTAATGGTTATGCCACAAAACGTGCAAAATACCTACATTATATTTTTGGAATCGTATTTGCTGCATAAATTTTAGGGAGGCTCTAGGGATACATATCCTAAAGTATTCATATCGCTTATGGGCCAGAGCGTCACAAATTTTGGCGTGTCTGTAAATTAAGTAATGTAACTGACTTTTTTTCAATTTTTTGACTCAAATACAGGTGGCCCATCCATGTGTGGACGGAATATTACTCATAAACAAATACACTTTGGGATGTTATACATGACATTTGAGGGCACATTTCTAAAATATTGGCAATTATACATGGTGTCCCAATTTTGACCTACATATCAAAGTTGTGAGTTTTTAAATGGAATGCCTCAAATTTTATTGCATATTTGGATAAACCAATTCAAAAGAAGAAGAATCGCATAGCATACTAGTAATTAGCTACTGAGATGTAAGGTGTTGTGTCCAGAAAAACCGTCCACTTCGGCAACCCCTCAATCCACCATTTTGAAATTTGCAGTGCTGAATTGTGTTTAAAAAAAACTTACACACCTCAGCTTTTATCTTATTTGTTACTTTTTCGAATTGTCATTTTTGCTCATACAGAGTGGTCAAAAATCCGAATTGTACTTTTTCTCAAAAATTTCAAATGCATCACCCTGTATATCTGTGCAAGTTTGGATTCAATTTTTATAAGTTTTTTTTTTGGTATAAGGTTTGATTCAGATAAAATTACTAGATTTTGAGTTATTAAGCTTTTAATAGAACAACACACCAAAATTAAGGAAAAAAATCACATCATCCATGGAAACAAAAGACAAACAGGGGGCTAATTCCATATTGCCACTAAGAGTATAGATTTGACGTAAAAACTAATAAAAATCAGAACAGTGTAAATCAGCTTCAAGCGTAATACAGAAAAACAACTATATCAACAACATAAACAAACAAATATCACTACTCAAGACCTAATCTACAAAAACTGCTCGAAACTATCTTCACCATCTTGAATACACAGCCTTCGTCTTTGGATAAATGACCGTTGCACATCCCTCAGCATGTGTTCCATTAAGTTCAGAATAGCAACCTTAATCCTTTCCTTCATATTTTCTGGGGTGGCTGGGTTTTCCCTCGCATAATAGTGCATGTTATGCCTGTTGACAACACCTATGCTGTTAAAAGTTGCCACATCGCTAAAAAGAATCTTATCCAGGAAAGTAGTGTCTTCACTCACTTTATTTAGCATTATTCTACTAAACTCCATTCGAGCTGCGAAATCCTGAAGACCAAGGCCTTGATGCAAGCATAGGTGATATGGATGGTACCTATGCTTGTGAATAATCCTTTGGACAGAAGTTCTGCATATATGTTTCTGCTCCAATTTGCCGTGCACTTAAATGGGGATTTTCCTGACACTTGGATTATTTATACATTTTTTACTATATTCCACTGCTCGACTTGATTCAAAATGTTCTCGTAGTGTGGAAAATGATTCCGGCTTTGGATGTCGCATATTAGGGTACCGTTGCTTATAAATGCGAGATGCTAGTTAAATATTTCTTTGGGCGTCGCCCAAAACGAACACCATATTCACCATTTCTTCTTTAGAAAAATTCATTTTCAAACACGTTTTTATTATAATGCTCACAAAGCTAACTTTGACAGTTTGTGACTAGTCAACAGTTTATTTGTTTCCAAGGATGATGCGATATTTTAGGGAATTAAGCCGTTCCATTAAAGACGTGCTAATAACCGAAAAAATAGCCGTAAAAACCCTTATGTGTCTAGTACCAAAAAAGCTTATAAAAAATTGAATCCAAATATATAGGGTAATGCATTTGAAATATTTGAGAAAAACTACAATTTGCGTTTTTGTATGAGCAAAAATTAAAATTCGAAAAAGTAATAAATAAGATAAAAGCAGAGGTGCGTAGGTTTTTTTTATACAAAATTCAGCACTCCAAATTTCAAAATGGCGGACTAAGGGGTTGCCAAAGTGGGGGTTTTTCCAGACAAAACACGATATATCTCAGTAGCTAATTACCAAAACCATGGGGATTGTATATTATATCAATTTTCTTCTTTTGAATTGGTTCATGCAATAAAATTTGAAGCGTTCCATTTGAAAAATCACAACTTTGATATGTAGGTCGAAATTGGGGCACCCTGTATAATGGCCAATATTTTAGAAATGTGCCCTCAAATGTCATGTATAACATACCATAAATAGATTTTCTCAAAATGTATTTGTTTATGAGTAATATTCCGTCCACAGCCTCAAAATAAATTCCTTCTGCAGCCACAATGCGCTAAAGATGGTTCTTCCACCCCTCATAGCTGGTCGGTTACAGCTATTTGAGTGTTTTTCACTGTCCCAAAATGAGTTCTGTTCAGGTGGTATTCAAGCATTCAGCATTAACGAGTTGCAGCACCCAGTTGTTCTTGATCTGATGAACGGTGCTATGTGTTAAATTTAACCCTGCCCCGTCGATTCTCACTGTACCGAAATCTAAACGCACAAGATCCCGAATCCTGTCGATATTTACGTCGATTCTTGAAGAATCGCCTCGGGCAACGAAATGACTTGTGCGAGTTTAAACTTGTATTGAAGGACGATCACATGTTCCCTGTCTCCCCTACGAGCCCGGCGCCTCCAGCGTTGCCAGATCGAGCGCTACGTTGCCAGCTTTATAACTTAATTTACAAACCTCGTATAGTCAAGGCTTAGAATCATAGTTGAGATAGTCTCTTTGTCTGGACAAACCTGCTTTGACTGCATAGGTAACTAGAAAAATATATTTAACAGTACCACTTCAACAGCTGTATGCGTCCTTAATTCTGTTACAGTATATTGAACTAATGCCCAAAACTAAAAATGTTCCTCAAAAGGAATGTGCATCGAGATTTTCATAGTGGTCTGTCACATGCATCCCAGTATCCTTACCGTTATAATCCAGTGACATCGTTTTTATACAATCGCTCGACGTATTTATGTAGATGCAGACAGTGCGAGAAAAACTCGGAAGAAAATTAATATGATAGTAACCATTAATGACGTCGCAGCATTGTTAATATTTATAAGAGGCCTCGTTCAAGATAATGAACTCGTTCAAACCAAGATGGCACGCGGACATAGATGTTAGAAATGCATTATTAAGCTATGACGAAGACGAATAATAATAAAATGCAATTTTTATGGAGATGAACTCCACAGTGGGAACAGTGGCATAGATACCTGGTAGCAAGCAGTTATCGGCTGCTTCTTTTAATACCCCTCTGTTCATATAGTCACTTGGTCATAATTAAAATATAATTTCTTCGTGTATTAAGTGTTCGGATTCTGCGTGAAAAGCAATAAGCTTAGTTATTTGGGGCGGCTGATGTTGTTCATCGTATGACGTTTTAATACCGGCAGAAACTTCGGTATGGCAGCACTCTTGCGCAAACTTCCATCCTATTGCCTAACTTCCAAAGCGAAACTTTGTTTATGGCAGTCCATTTCAGCTTACCCAAGTCCAAGATGTCCAGGAACACTGACTATAAGCTAGCAATATACCCATGACAGAAAGCATGTAAATTTTGATGTAAAAAAATTTGTAGTACTGCTACATCTCTCTAATAATGTCATAGGGCATTCTGAGAAGGTGATTCATCACTTCTTAAGTCAGCCCAAGCTAGATGTTTCTAAAAATATGATGGAGTTTTTTAAGGATAAGGTCCCATCATATCCTGCACATGTTCAATGGGCGAAAGGTCTGTAGATCTAGGAGGCTAAG